TAGAATGAAGTGAGGAAGTCTGTTTATGTGCAGTAGCTATCTCTATCAGACTTAGGGAGGATGTGGCTTTATCCTTAGCTCCTTGATTAAGCTGTTGTTTATTGTTTGTTTGTTCGATTTGAATCCCTGCTTATCTGAGTCTATGCTGCTGTAAAATATGGGTTCTGGTCTCATGTTCCCTGTTTAGCTTTTACAAATGGTTAATATCAAGCTTCCAGGAATTTTCTAGTGTTTTTTTTAGAATTATTGTTATTTAGCTTGATCTGGGATGCTCAGTATTTCCTAATTGAAATTGTAATTGAGTCTGTCTATGTCGCGGGTGTCAAACTCACAAGTTGTCATCACATGATGTTTTGCAATGTTTTTTCTCTTTGCAGAGCTGGGGTGGGCAAATGACACATCCAGCATATGACACATCTGGCCTGCGGGCCACCAATTTGACACCCCTGGACTATGTGTTGTGAAATTACGGAATTTTCATGTTGTATTCTGACTGATAGTTGTTGTTAATGAGTGTGTTCAGCTAGTCTTCCATCTCTTTGTCCTATATAGTGACTAATACAAATTTTATGCTATATGTTATAGATAAATCCTATTTTTTCTTCTCAGGTTACTGAGTTTCTTGATTTACTTAAATTGTTTTGGAGGGTTTTAGTTGGTTCATAGGCTATAATGATACTATTTAGTTGTAGTAATCTGTTGGTTGTTTCTGGGATGTTTTTGGCAAAGTTATCGTTTTCACAGTTTGTTTTGGTAGTCCTATAGTAGATTGAGTTGTTGGGCATTTTTTATGAAAATGCATAGGTATCCAGAATTACGCAGTGTAGATTTGTTGCACATCATTCATAGTTAAAGGAAGATGATTCCACTGATAATTTGATAAGAACTGGTAGTCATTTGGTAATCCCAAGTGGGACCAGCAACTTAGATGTTAGGTAAAGTGATCCCTAAGTGAAACCATGACTATGCTTATAATCTTACTTTAGCTTTTCTTTGCTTAACAGACCTGAAAAGATTGTAAATGCAAGATTGGTCATAAAATTGTTTTTCATTACACTTGTAAGTGTGAACTGTCACTAAATAAGGCAATTGCTAAACAAGGATTAACTGTAATGTTTTAATTGAGCTGCTTGGCCTGTGAAAACAATTGAAATTAGCTCATGAGAAGAGATGATTCAGGATCTGTGCAGGGATTCATAGAAAGTATTTTCTGGGTGAAGTCAGTAGATATGTAGAAGGGCATTAGGAGCCCAGAATAATAAACCATACCTGTTCATGACATCAAATGCAAAACGTAGTACAAGATTTTTAAAAAAATCATGCCATATTTTGTATTTATGCTCTTCTACAAACAAAATCTCATGGACTTTTGAGAAAAAATTTTTTTCCATACAATTGCTGGTGACTTTTTTTTCAGATAAAGAGGAGAAGCATTGATAATAATTCTCATAAATTCATAAAACATAAGTGCATTTAAAATAAATGGTGTTGGGTTTACAAACATATATACATTAAAAATATATTGCATTGAATTTTTTCTATCCTTTTTCACCTTTATCTCAAAGTTCCAGTACAAAATCATCCATGAGTTTTACATTATTGCAAGCTTCATATCTACTAAAAAACCAGTTAATCATTTAGCTATTTTGCTCCCTACTCTATTTATAGTTTATGGATAAGGGAAAGCAATCCACATAATCTGTTCTCTGGAAATATAATTTTATACCTGTTCTTGAATAGTAATTGGAGGCTCTGTGGGGAGATTCATTGTATTGCCAGAATGTAATTGCCACTATGAACTAATTAAGCAGTTATCCCTCTCCCTCATAATGGTCAAAAAGCCTTTCACAACATTAGGTTTGGCTTGCTGTCTTACTTTAATCAGAAAACACTAATATAGATGTCATAGTGAAACTCATAAAGGAAATGGCAACACCAAGTTTATTGGGGCTAAGAGCAGTAATAGCAACAACTTGTTGAATTTTATGTGTTGAAGAAAACAAACAGTAAAGGAAACAATTATATTTCAGAGATGTCTGTTGAAAATTATCCTCAGTTCTTGCTCCGATGGGGTGAATTTTTCTAAAGTTTCACAACTTTCAATGATTTCATTATACTCATGATCACAATATCTCACTTCATTAAAAATATCTTGTGTCTATATTTGTATGAAATAGAAAGAATTTCATTTATTTTACAGTAGACATTCATGCATTGCCATTCATTCTAGGAAGGCCCTCAAATAAAATAATGCAGCAATAAAATCCAAATGGGTAAAGCAAAAGAAGAAATGCAACAATTTAAATGGAGTACAGATGAGATCACTCATTAATTTGGAAACTAAGATATGAGCTTCTTAAAGAATTATAATTGTCATGCTGGTTTGCTGATATGCAAGTAGCAACTCTGGATGTTCTAATCTTAAACAATGTTTAAAATGCCACACCTAGATATGTATTCATGTATTTAGTTCTACTTTTCTTTAATGGATTTGTGGTACTGTAGATAAGAATAAAAAAATCAGTCTATGTTGTATTCATATTCTTTCATGTTATTGTGTTTAAAATTACAACTAAAACAATAAAAAACTAAGAAAAGACAAAAATAGAAAGACAAAATAGATTCAGAAAAGAAAAATAGAATAGTACAATAAAGAAAAAAATAGAAATATACAAAGAAATTACTTCCCCTTCATCTCAGCAAGCATCTGTTGATTTGCTATTTGTATAGCCCTTTTAATTATTAAGACATCAGCCAGTTTCTTTTGTATGTCCAGCATAGCATTTTTTCCATATCATTCTTGTTGTTTATCTCATCCAATACAATTTATTTCTCTTTCATAACACTGTTTAAATAAATTTAGACACTAAAATTAATTTTTGTGTCCATAGGTCAAAAATATCATTCAATATTGAATGATTCATGTTCTTTTGTTCTATGGTAATCCACATATCTTTCTACTATTCCTTTTTATTTGAATTTATAATACAGTGTTTGATACATTTTTAAAATAAATTTTGTCTTTATAGACTTTCCTATATAACATTTGAATTTTTTAGCTAGGAACTATACCGATTCATGATGTTTACCTTCATCTCGGTCAATATCATGGAAAGATATTACATCCAGAAATATTCCCAAGCTGTATACCTACAGCTGTAGCTAACAGTTATGCCATCTAAACAACCAGATTTATCAACAATTTGGAATTACAATAAAAATAAGTACTTCTGAATTTATTTACATTTTATTTTCCCTTATCCTATCTATTGCTACTTGTAGACAAACTTTCAGAGCATTCCTACGATTGTTTGATAATGTTGCTTCAAAGAAAGTGTTGCCAATATATTTATTATACCTGGCTCCAAATCAATTAATGATTTCTCCTAGCACAGCTCAAATGGGGCCTTGACTTTCACAAATCACATTTTGGAGTGATAGTTCCCAAGAAAAACCATCTATGATTTTTCTAAAAGTAGGAGTGGACCTCCCAATGCCTGAAATCAGCAAGCAGTCTGAGGGATATAATAGTCAATTGTACTTAAATCAAATAAGAAGACAGGAAAACAAAATCTTTTTCTATTTAAATAAAGATAATTTGTCAGGCTAAGAAAGCCATCTTGGTCTGAAGCCATCTTAAAATTAGTCTAATTAGTCTAAAATTTGTCTGAATTATCCATTTATCTAGGATTGCCTGAAGCTGAGAAGGCTTGCCCAGCCATACACTTTTAGATCCCTAGTTTGACAAATTAGGTTTTCTTAAGTAGTAGAAAGTACCGCTTTTAATCAGGAAAGCAACTTTTTCTTGCTTAGAGAGGCCTTCATAATATTTACCAGACCCTCCAGGTATAATCAGAGGTATAATCCTGGAGATTCTCATAAATATATAATTCAATCTGAGTAAGTATCAAGAAGGTATTTAATAATAACACTGCTTCACACAAACTAACTACATTCATAGGAATTATAAAGGAAACTGATGGATGTTAGCTTCATAAAATGAATATTTGATACTTCCATTCTAAATCTAAAGTAGTGCTCTAGTTAGATCAGATCTGAAATAAAACAATTTTAAATTTGGTGATACAAAAGGTAATATTAATCATCTCTTATCAAATATGTGAGAGACTAGTAAACATACTTTTTTTTTTCCTGTGGGATTTTATTTTTTTCAGAGAAGGCAAGTTTCTTAACTTTGTTTTCTAATGTAAAAGACTAATGATGCAGTTTTTAGCTAGTGTAGATAAACAAGCTGAGGGTCAAATACCCCCTACCATTTCTCTTTATAGCAGTGAAATGCAGCCTGGATTTATGACCTACTATTTTAGTGTGTCTAAGTAAACTACTCTCATATTTGGAAAATAAAACATCTGTTCATAGCCTGTAAATGCACAGTTACTCTCCCCTCCCATAGAGTCAAACAAGAATACAAATCAGCTTTATTGCAGTTCCTCATGCTGACAGGATCTGATGTTCTTAGTTCACTTCCCTTGGAACCCTCTGTGTCATGAAATATTTTCCCTCACTGGCTTTCAGTAGCCATTACTGAATCCTATTCTACCAACACAGGTCATCTTCAGGAGTCTAGACTCATTTTCCCCTGGAATCAATATATTCATCACTTCAAACTATTAATAATACTAGCTGATAACCCAACATTACCTGAGTATTTATCTGGTATTAGACAGGAAAATCCTACAGTTGGGACTCATGCTGTTGTACTGTCCCTTGCACTACATCACAAGTCTTCTATTCCTCTCCTCAGGAGTTTCTTGTCTATGCTGGTATTTCATTTTTATAGCGTTTGATTGCACTTGGCCAATTGCCTGCCGTTTCCTTGGAGGGATGAGAAGGAGCTCCCTTGTGGAGTACTGTGAAGCCATTACACTGGCAAGTCCATTGTGCTGTACAGTAGAAGCCATTTTAAGGTGCACGCACCTGCCCCAAAAGGTGTTAGGGGTGTCTTACCCCCACAGTATTTGTTTCCAGAAAGTAACTCATCTGGGAAATACTTTTATGTTTTTCTTGAATCTGTTTAAGTTTTCCCTTTGGAATGGCTTCAGAAGCAGTACATACAAATCTGGATACTACCCAGAGCTGTGTCTGACATTTGATCTTCTATTCTGTGAATATTCTATGCACTTGATTTATTATTGTACAGACTTTTCTTTGGGTGAGAATTCAATAAGTGAGAGTGGATCTCTTCAACAGTTTAATTAGCCCAACTAGTATATTTGGAATTTAGGATGGCTTTGCTTTTCTCGTTGACAGTAATGGATTTGGTAAGTGCAGAACCTGGCTGTTTGGACTATAAACTCAAATTGGATCAGACTTGATTAAAACTTAAATGAAGGGTAAATGAATTCTAAAGCTTAAACATATATTTGAAAATTGAGTGGGAGGGGAAAACCATCCAAAGCAGAATAATAACATTTTCTCTTTTAAGAAAATTGCATAAATATGGACAAGGGGCCCCAAACAGCTTTCTCTGAACTTTATAAAAATATAATGGCAATACAAATTTTATCCTAATACAACACTATTGTGAAAGGAAAAATCAAGACATGCTTCTTCTGCCCTAACTTCAGAGTAAGTTTTTATATAAAATTCAGAAAATTGGATTTGTTTTAATCTTTTTCCATGTACTTTCATTTGCAGTTTTTTTTCCTCCAGAAGCAATCTGTTCATTGTTCCACAATAATTCATACCCCTTCTGACAAGCTATTAATATTTTTCCTTAATATTTCTGAACTCATTTCCTATTATTCTTTTCCAGCAACTTGAATTATTTCCTCACAAATCAAATTAATTTAGAGTAGCAATGCACATGACCTGCATTTCTGTGAATAATTTCCAGCTTAAGTTATCTGCTTGGGCTGGATATATTCTTTTTACTCATAGGCATTTTTATCTGTTAATTGTACTTGTTACTTCAAAGGTATAACAAAACTCCATACATACATACATGCATACATTTCTATTCATAAAGTGTGTGTGTGTGTGTAGGCATACACACATACATGTTACAATTCTATATATCTCTTACTAGCAAGTAAAGCCACTAAATTCAAGAACTCTTACTTTTGAGTAGACTTGTAGAGGACAGTGTTTTCACTGGACTGGTTTTTCTAGTGATAAATGCTCACTTGCTATAAACTAGGGTGCTATTATAATCAAACATTGCTTGCATTTTAAATTAGCACAGTTTCTCATGCAAGGTATAATGAAGGATAATGCACGTATCTTTAGAGCTCATTTTGAGTTTCAAAACAAGTTACAATGCAATCACCTGTTAACATCTTTCTCCCATGGGCTTTTGTACAAAAAAAATCTAATATGCCTGATAGCTCCTTGTTTATTTTCAGATCCATGAGCTGCTTGCCACAGTGACCTTGAAAGCAGATTCACACCTTGCAAAGTCCCTGACCTTGTAGTCATTAAAATCCAATCACACACTGGGCAGGTTTCCATATTCATTAAGACAGCAAGAAGATAGATTTGAACATGCCTCTGACGTGACCAATACATTCATCAGCCAATTTCCATCTTCTTCAACAAATCCAGCTTGCTTAGGGATATTATGAGATTAATTGACACTGAAAATCTTTTACACCCAAACACTAGCAATGTTAAGCAGATACAATATGTTCCTAATTAAAAAGGTTGTGATCAAATGTAAATTGTCAATTAGATTTTGTCCTGTAAATACCTGCCAGAAAGTTATAAGAACAATCTCCTTCTTTTCATCTTTTTGATGTAGTAAGAACAGAGTTTTGAAAGAAGAAATTGTTTTTTATAATGAATAATAATTACATATTTTTCATTTTATTACTCAACAGAAAAGTGTAGGTGTCTTCTATTTGAGATAGTGGTATATATTTCTTGTTCATTAACTTTGCCTCATCATTCAAGTAGTCTGCTTTATCCATGGATTGAAACCCTGTATTGTTATGAAGTTATTTCTCAAAGCAGATCATGGGCAATAGTCCTCTTAGGAAGATCACATGGATCATTTCAATCAATTAATGATGCAATTAGACTGGCAGACAATATATTTATTGCCCTCCTTTGTTCCTTCATGTATTTGTTTTCAATGTTTCTTAAAGACTGTTCATTAAAAACATTACTTAAAAAGTTGAAAATAAGAGTACAATAAAGTTGTGAAATAAAAATAGAAAAGTATCAATAGAAATAATCAACAGAACATTAAAAATGACATAAAAATGTAAAAATGTATTTTATGAAATATAAAAGTTGTTCCCAAATGCTAAAATAAACAATATAGGCATGATGTGAGGTTTTTCAGGGACACATAGTCCAATTAAAATATGTATTATATGACATATATAAAATGTTTTTAATATATGTATTGTTACTGATTATAGTATGCCACCCAGAATGACTTTATCTTTCTTTGAGATAAACTGTTCTATAAATTTAATAAATTAGTGCAACTCAGAGGACCTTCCAGAAATTTCTTCCTTTTTTTCTTTCAAAAATTTAGTGTGATATAAAATATAGATTTTATAAATATAGATTTGAATAGTTTAACTCCTATAGCCAGAGCAGCCTATACTTTGTTATGTGTGGGAAAAGTTATAAAAACCTGATTTTTAAAAAAATAAGTACTAGAAGTTTTGCTTTGCCCTATTCATTTTTGCAATCTTCTCTAAACTGTGTTTGCTAATATAATTCTATTAATTTGTTATGTTGTTTTAGTATTTCAGTGTTCTTACTCTAAGAACACAGTGGCTTGTTGCCTATACATGCTCCAATAAATATTTTTTCTAAATAAAGACAATCAGTAATTATACATACATATCTTGTTCCATGGGAGCCCCAGGCCTGATCACATAAGCAGGTCTTAAGGATCTTATGGAATGTCACATCCAATGTGGCCATCCCCAATTCAGGGAAAGGATATTCCATAAGGAGGTGCCACAGCAAAGAAGGCTCGTCTCCTGAGACCCACCAAATGGGTGATGATACCCCTAGCATCCCTTATTTGTAAGATATGAAGGGATGGGCTGAGGTAACTAGGTAAAACTGGCCCTTTAGATAACCTGGTGCCATGCCATGAAAGGCTTTTAAAGTAACTTGAATTGGACCTGGAAGCAACTGGGCAACAAGTGCAGTTCATGAAACAGAGATATTGTTCTTAGGAGTGCACATAACTGCTAGCACCACTGCATTATATATCAGTTGAAGCTTTCAGATGCCAATCAATTGCTGCTTCATTTTTTGCTGCCTCATTGCAGTAGTCCAATCTGGAGGTAAAAAGATCATGAATGACTGGAAACAGGACCTGCAGATCCAGGAAGGGGAACAACTGAATTTATCTTTGAAATCTTTATTCTTTATATAAAACAAAAAATTCAAAATAGTAGCAGCATAAGTGTGGAAATTCATAAAGATATGCCGGCAGTTATGTTTTTGTTGGTATTTTTCCTTTGGCTTTCCTCCATATGCTAAATTTTATGTTAGAGTTTGAAATACTTTGATCATAAAGTAAATCCTTATCTTTAAACACCAATTTATAAATGTTTTGATTAAGGCAAAAGTAAAGAAATGGAATGATCTGCAGTTTCCATTTAAACTGAGATGTTAAGATAGAATCAATATATACTTTCTCTGAACTAGAGAAATTATTAAGTTTGAATTCTCTATGTCTCTTTTTTTCACCGAATGTGAACAAATTAGCTATGGAAATAAAATATAGGAATGGCTGATTTTGCACATGTTATTGTTCTAGAGGTTGGGGTTTGTTTTGATTTGTTTTGTTTTTTTGTGCTCAGGCATTTTAATTTTTCCAAACTTAACTAACATTCTATTTACATTTATGTTTCTTGTAACATCATTAAAATAGTTCTATTCATGTGGCTAATATGAATATATGAATTTTAAAAGATTTGGCAACAAAACAGCATAATATGTTAAAAAGAAGATTTGGGAAAGAAATCCTGCATTTAATTAACATAGACTTTTTTTAAGGAGATTAATTATTTTTTTAATTAGCAGTATCTCCTTAAATCTGCTTCATTTATAAACATGAAATCTTAATAGTAATAAGAATATAGCCTCCTAATTTTCTGTTTGATAGAAAAACTAATACTATTATCTGACTGAAATGATTTTTAGGAAATAGTAATTATGGTAATGTAGACTTGTTCAAGAATTCTCTTTAGATATAGTTTACATACCCAAAATTTATATACTTGTTCCAAATTACTGGAGAGTTACTTAGGGTTCAATTTATTTTTTTAATATCTGAGCTACTATTTAGACCTCTAAGATAGATGGCTTTATGAGTCAAAATAGACTACCCAAAACATTAAAGCTGTTCAAACTTTCAAATATCCAATATGGTAAAAAACAACAACAGTTAAAGAGCCTTTCCTTGATATGTTATTGTGTCTGCATTTAAACAGATCTTATGTTTCTTGGGATTAACACCAAACTGAAATTGCACAAGCATATGAGTATGTTTATCCTGTGAAAATATGTTCTGATATAATCAAATTGAAAATTCAATATGAACACGACCAGGGGTGGGATCCTACCAGTTTGGTCTGGTTCTGTAGAACCAAAAGCTCCGAAGAGCAGCTGACACCAAACTGCTTCGCTAGGACAAAGTTTTGGTCTGCTGTTTGGCCCTCCCATGCACCTGGGCTCTAGGCTGTCCTTTAGTAGCTGCGTTTTCCTCCTCAGCTACTTTGCATGGCACAGCTGAATGCCACTCATCAGCTGGAGAAGGTAAATGCTTGCCAGAGTCAGTAGCACGCACACACATGCAGTGTGTGTTTGATGCACTTGCACATGCTCCCTGAATTGGTTGTTATGCCAGTCGGATCCCAACTCTGAACATGACTCAAGTATAGATCAATTCAATTTGAACTGTTTGAAGTTATGAGATTCAATTTTTAAAAAAATTACAATATGTTGTAGAACAATTTCAAATCTTTGAATAAGTGTTATGGTTAGAAAGAATGAACTCTGTCATATTTTTGCCAT